AAAATTAAAAATAAAAAAAAAAGAGTCTGTACTTGTTAATTCCTTCCTTCCTGATTTAAGCATAACGTTGTCAGTAGTAAGAGCCTAGCTTCATTCATATAGAATTTTCTTTGTGATTTGCTCCCTGGCAATTTTCATTAAAGTTACAGGGAACCTAGGTTCAGGGCTTCAGTCTTTGAACTGTTTGCCCCCTGCCTTTACTCTGTTTTTTTCCCCTTGATTCCTGGGTGTCCCCGTCTCACTTTTTCTCAATCCCAGAAGACAACATATCTGTGTTTCATTGACTATGTAAAGACATTTGACTGTGTGGATCATAACAAATTCTGGCTAACCTTGAGAAGAATGGGAATCCCAGACACTTAATGGTGCTCATGTAAAACCTATACTTGAGCTAGGAAGAAGTCATCAGAACAGAACAGAACAGAACAGAACAGGAGGAAATATTAGATGGTTAAATATTAGGAAAGATGTATGCCAGGAATGCATCCTATCTCTGTAACTTTTCAGCCTACATGCGGAACACATCATTTGGGAGGCTAGATTCTTTGAGGAGGAAATGTGGCATCAGAATTGGAGAAAGACTCATCAACAACCTGCATTATGCTAATGACACAACCTTTTTTCTGAAAGTGAGGAGGACTTGAAGCACTTGCTGAAGAAGATCAAGGACTGCAGCCTTCAAAATGGATTGAAGCTCAACATCAAGAAAACGATTTTCACCACTGGGCCAATTGTCAGCATCAAGATAGATGGAGAAGAGGTTGAAATTGTTAACAATTTTAGCTTGCTTGGCTCCACAATCAACTTGTCACCAAGAGCCAGGAAATCAAAAGACAAACACATTGGGAAAATCTATTGTCAGGGACCTCTCCACAATACTGAAGAGCAATTCTTTCAGTCTAGAGACTGAAGTGCACCTGATCCAAGCCATGATTTTCACACTACTTGCTATGCAATAGAGAGCTGGACAATGATTAAGGGTGATAGAAGAAGAATTGATGCCTTTGAAGTGTGCTGGAGAAGGATATTGAACATACTGTGGACTGCTAAGAGCACAAACAGTTCTGCCCTAGAGAGGGTGAAACTGAGCTGCTCCCTGAAGGCAAGGATTCTGAAGCTCCACCTCACATACTTTTGGTATGTTGCCAGGAGGGACTAATTCTTGGAGAAGGATATCATGCTTGGACAGGTGGAGGGGCAGCACAAGAAAGGAAGACCTTGGATCAGATGGATTGACTCAGTAACTGAGGTAAAAGGAGTAGGTATGTTGAAGACAATGAAATTGGCTCAAGATAGGGCAGGCTTCAGAGTTGTTGTACATGGGGTTGCTATGTGTTACAGAAAACTCAACAACATATAACAACAACAATGATGTTTTTACAATGACAGATACATAGACCAATGGAACAAAATTGAGAACCCAGAAATTAACCCATTTACCTACAGTCATTTGGTATTTGATAAGGAAGAAAACTTTTCAAATGGGTATATGACAACCACTTCAACACATGGTGCTGGCAAAATTGGCCATCTACCTACAGAAAACTGAGAAAAACTCCATATATCTTCCTAGACCCCAAAATCAACTGAAGGTGGATCAAAGACCTGTGGGTAAAGCCCAAAATCATTACGGTAAGAGACAAAATGGGACCAAACCTAGCCTATGTTATAAATAGGCTTTCAAATATAGCCAGAAATGCACAACCAGAAGAAGATAAAATAGATTAATGGGGCTTTCTAAAAATTAAGTCCCTGTGTACATAAAAACCTTTCTTAATTGACATTTTAATGAAAGTTTATAGAGAACTTGAATTTCCATTCATTCATTGTTGCACATTTTCCTCCCTACCCCCCTGCCCCCATTTACTTTTCTCTTTGAAAAGAAAAAAAAAATTCTTTCATTGTTATACAATCCACCCCCCACTCCAGTCCACTTAACTATACAGTTCTTATTCTGGACTCTTGTCATGCAAATAATACTTAATCATATATTCCTTTTGAACGGTTCTCTCCCTCATCTGTTTCAATGCAGTGTACATTACTTATACTTTCTTTTCTTAGTTTTGCCCCAACCCCAATGTTAGTCCTGTTTTATAACAGTGGCTCTATGCAGTATTTGACTTTCTGTGACTGAGATATTTCACTCAGCATAATGACCTCCAGGGTCACCCATTTTGTATACTATTTCATGAGTTCCTTGTATTTCCATGCTGCATGGTATTCCATTATGTGAATATACTACAGATTCTCTACCCATTCATTTGTTGATGGGCACTTTGGGTTGTTTCCAGATCTTTGCTATTGAGAACAAAGCCACAATAAACATGGGTGTGCATATATCTGGTTGGGTGGCAGTTCTGGTTTCTTTAGGGTATATTTCTAGTAGTGGAATTGCTGAGTCAAATGCTATTTTTTTCCCCCTTAAATAGTTGTTTATTGGCAGTGGGTTGGAAAAGGTGATGGAGTTAGCAAACAGACGCCACCACACACCAATATCACAAGGGCAGCAAGAGTGATGGGAAGGAGCAGCCTGAAGCCCCAGATGAGGCCCTTCTTCTCAAGTGTTAAGTCTAAGAGGGCGCTGGGGTCTGGAGTGTCGAGGGGGGTGGCCTTAGAACACCTCCACTTAGTAGGCATGGTTAGAGACGAAGAGGGACTCGCTGGCTGCGGCCCCGGCCTGACTGCTTGGGGTGTACTTTCCTTGGCAGGCGAGGCTGTTGGCCAAGGCTCGCTTGATATACTCCTCCTGGGCTGCCTTCAGATTCTCCTTCTTCCCACCCCAGGCCTTCAATGCAGAGGCCTGCAGAGCTCGGCCATAGGAGAAGGTCAAATGCTATTTTTATTTCCAACTTTTT